AAAATCATAATCCTCCTCTAAAATTCACCAAAAACTCCATTAAAATTCAAAGTATTAAAAATCTCCCTAAACGATAAAAAACTCCTAGAAATTCATAATTTATCATAAATCATCCCAATTGCCTGCTCCGCCTATTTTTCAACAAACAATCCATGTCCACATATAATCAGATGATACTTTGAGGAATACTCCTCTAAAATTCACAGTAACCTGATCAACTAAGAACTCGATAAAAAATCAAAAAATCTATTACAAAACACCCTAAAATAGCTATACACCTCTCAAAAATTGATAAATTTCATCATACTTTTTCCTAAAACCTGATTCAACCTATTTTTCATATAGACAATCAGAGCCCATATAATTAGATTAGACTTCCCAGGTGTAAATTCATTTACCTTGGAAGCCTCACTAAAATTCATCACTAAAATTCCTCGGGAACTCACTAAAACTTTATCATGGTGACTTAACATTTGGATTTAGCAAAATCTCAATAAAATTGATTACAAAAAAGTGACGTACAGCAATCTAAGAGTCCGATTGTAGAGAGTGACAAGTCCATTGAAAAGTTTGATAGCATAGTCTGCAATCTCCTGTGATTCAATTCGGCAAACGCATAACCTTCGGCTTATCAGTTTCTTTGTCTCGGGAATATACAAATCCACCACTCTCCCGCTTGTATCAAATATCATACAGAACTCTCTCGCTCACTCTCTCATCCAAATTACCTATACCAAATTAAATTAATCAACACATAAATTAATAAAATAACAACAATATTTAATTGAAAAGCTGTGCTGACAGTCCAGCAACGTTATCGATATGTATGTTTACTGCGATATCTCTCATCGCATCTGTTTTTCATTTTCTATTTTCCAAAACTTGTGAGCCCAGGGTAAGTTTCGGTATCGTTACCGGACCAGCATTGTAATATTCACCTAATACAGAAATTATCATTTTTTTTTTTTTATAAAAATGTGAGTTCAGGTCTCTGGGTCCTGTATTGTTACTGGACTAGAATTCTCATACTCTCCAAATGAAGAAATGAGACGTGCAAAATTAACGGCAACGTACTGACCAGTAACACAGTGTGAGCCAGTAATAATCATTTTCATAAGAATTGAGGGAGATTTGGCCCTACCCTAGTTTTATTTATATTCGGCAAAAAACTAGCCCTAGGATTTAGAAACCAAAGGGATGAGCGTGCCGGAACGTACGAGCAGGGAAGATGAATCGAGACGTACCTATGTAGACGTTGCAGCGAGGGTCCCGGACATGTGGAGTTGGAGCGAAAGGACTTATTAGGAGTTGTGAATGAAGTGGAGAGGAAAAGAGGGAGAGGGGGTCAATTAATGATGATTGTCTGCGAGATTTTTTTTTTCCTTCCGTGTTGTGGTGGCTATCATATTATACACAGAGAGAGAGCGATGAGGAGTGATACGTGGGGATCAAATGAACCTGTCTTTCAAGTGAGGCAAGACGGTTATTTAGAGACCGTTGATGGCTTAGTAGATTTAGCCCAGTTTATTACTGGATCATTTTTTGTTATTTTGTTTGGATTAAATAACAGAAAAGTATTGTTTTATATGGGCAAATTATTGTAAAAATTAATCAAAATTAAATAAGATTTTTGTCTCAAAATGAAAAGAGTATAAGAATTGTTTTCTATTACCCTATTCAACTCAAATAATATTTAGAGTTATGGGGGTTATTTAATATAAACATACTTATAAATGTTCATTCAACCCCAACAAATACTTGAGATTTACTGTAAAATTGAGCTATTGTCCTCTGTGGGAGCAATGGTGATTTTGAGTTTAAATTGATGATCTATGAATAGGCTCTGGCCTCTTAGTTGAGAGCACTTGCTGGTAACAAATGTCTATTACTTTGAAGAAATTGAATTAAGAGATTTTGAGTACAGGAAAAAGGAAGAGAACAATAGTGAGGAAAACAAAGTGGAATTGTGTTTGGGAGAAAAAGAATCAAATATTTAAGGGTTCGTTTGGTTCGAGGTCATATAAGATTACGAGAGTAATCTTCGTTTAATTTTCCAGATTCCCTTGTTTGGTTTACAAGTAATAAAATGCTACAGATATCTTTTATTGCAAATATTGTTTACTGTTGATAATATAGGGGGTAATCAGCCTACCTCCCATGAGATGTTATTAAAAGATTACCTTGGTAATCTGACTTTTATACATACCTTGCCCCTAATTAAATATCATTTCGGACATAATTGCTTTAAAATGTCTACCAAATAACCATTAGTCCAAATCTCCTACATTTGAGAATTTAGCTAAAACACAAAAAAATTTAAAATTTAAAAAAATATCCCACCCAACACCACCGTTGGTCTCCAACCACCACCGCCGACCGTCGGCAACAATCATCGTAATGGCGCACGACTGGCGGGATTTGACAAATCATACACCGGTAAGGTCATTTTCGGCAATTTTTAACCAAATCTGACTGTTTCTATATTCGTTTCACACCTAAAGATTTGGCCTTGAAACGATCACATCTTTGGTCATGAAAAAACCATAAAATTGACCAGATCTGGCCAGAAACGACCTTATCGACGCATAATCGACCAGATCCCACCGGTCGTGTGCCATTACGGCAACTGTTGACGATGGTAGCTGATTGTCTACAATGGCTTAGGATGGATGAAGGTGATTTTGCTACAATTTAAAGTTTTATATGACTGGAGTATTCTAGTAAAATTTTCAATGCAAGGGATTAAAAGAAACGATTTAAAAAATAATAATAAAAATAATATTAATTAATATTTAAAAAGGAGGTTAATTTAGTAAACTATATAACATACCCACCAATTTATCATTTCAACTAAACATATTAATATAACATACTCACTAATTTATTTCAACCAACCAAACACATTATTACTATTATATCTATTACCTTTATTAGAGCAAAAATTGCCTATACCATCAGTGATATTCTATTCAATAAAGTTTAGTAGTCTACCATGCATCAAATGCACATACATGCGACCAATAAGGATCATGTAAATGCAACAGATAAATTGTTGGCAACCTCATCAAGGTGATGAATGTGCATCTAATATAAGGTAGATCGTCCCAGAAGAATCGAAACTTCAGATTCTTCTTCCTTGAACTAACCATACGTTTCACTACCATTCTCATATGGTGACTAATGTCAAAACCAGTTCGGAAAAAAAAAAGCCAATCATTTCATCCACTAATGTCACAACTAGAGAGATTAACCAGAAAGTTTTAGCCGAGCATACATGCCAACAGAACATCACCAGATAAAGGGAGTCGGCTGATAGAACAGCAGCATATTGGCATAATGCTCACCTGATGGTGCTGTAGCTGCTGCACTTCATCCTGGACTGGCGCCGGAAGCACCTGAAAAGCACAGCCATGGATTAAGCTAGCAGTGCAGGAGTACCTCACAACCACCTGAAATTCTTCAAGACTCCAAACATATTTTCCGGTCTTAATGGGGTAGAGTGGCAAGTAAATAGTTGTATATTAAGTGATTTGAACGGTCTGTCCATAAATCAAAAGAAATTTTACACAAGTCTACAACTACACACGTATAATAGGTCTATATAAACTAATACCCTCTATACTTGAGTGTTGTGCAAGCACTTGCAAAGGTGTAGACAAAATGACCGATTGCGAGCTCATGGTCCAAACCATTGTGTTGCATATTGATAACAAGGAGTCTACCTTAAGGTTGCTTAGATGGTACACTAACAATCTCAAGGGTTTGTGTTTGATGCATGAACAGATGTTGCATGACTCCATTTGCCGCAACCCAAAAATCCATGGGATGCCTAAAATAAAGGGGACAACACAATTTACAGTCAACAAAGTCCAGGCCAACACACAACGAAAACCCGGGTCAAAAGTGACAACGCTGATCTCAAAGGAGATCATTAATAGAAAACCAAAAGCCAAAAGACATTAGTAATCACTTTAGCCACGCTTCAACGTCACTTTAAGGCCCATATAGCTAAAATATGTGAACATGGTTTTTAGTATCAACTTTTGTCAGTATGAAAAAATAAATATATGCCTTAGGGTTTAGGGTTTAGAGTTGACAGGCATATATGCCTATTATAATAATAGACAACTTTCACCAGCTTCACAGGCAAAGAATGTCTAGAGCAAATTCAATCAAGCATAAAGCAAAGAATGTTGAAAAGAATGTCTAGAGCAAATTCAATCAAGCATCAAGCAAAGAATGTTGAAAAGAAGCATGAAAACTCACCAACTTTGATAAAGATGATATAAACAGAGTCATATACACATGAAGTAAAAATTTAGCAACTAGCTTGTACTCAAATCTAATTCTAATCCTCAAGAAAACAGCAAAAACAATCATCAATAGCAAAATTACAACATATAACACATAACACAACCCTCGAGGACTCACTTCTACCAACAAATTTGTAATATATTTCAACAAATCAAGAACCCCATCTCTGATCTGTTACAAGAAATAAATCAGGAAATTCTGAATTGAATCAGTTATGCTGCCTGACCACCTCTTTCATCATTTGTTTACGATATTCACATATGTACTATTGGTTCATTACTTAACAACTTAAAACTTGATAGTCTACAACTTAAACAAGCAAGTTAGTTCTCAATATCTATCAGGAATACAGAAAAAAATTTCCTTTCCAAAGAATAAACTCCAACAGATATACTACTAAATTTAGCAATAGTTGATTGTTGAACATCTATTTAAGGGTTTCTCTTTAGACATTAAATATTCAGGTAGATACCACAGTTATTAGCAGCATGCACGTGCATGAATTTAATGCTACTAAAAATACAATAACAGTCATCAGCATAACTATAGTTGATATATCATTTTTTGTCTTTCCAGGCATTCTTATTTATAATAACACAAACAATGTATTTAATGAAGCCTAGCACAACAACATAAAGTGACCAAATTACATCAAACAAGCATCAAACTATTTCGTACTTGAACAATAACCAGTCTAAAGTTACTAATTTGTCATCATGAATTCACTGTTCAGGTTAGTGATCCAGAATCATCTTTCACAACACAACACAGTAGAACTGTTCATGTGAGAAAATTTAACTTCAATTTTCCCATATCTAGCTATATAATTAAAAACACAACAGCTGAAATTGGCACACCTTCAAAAATAGTCTAATAACAATGTAAACAAACTCGACTACAACTGACCTTCCAATTACATATACTCAGTACAGCTGTACCACTTATCCTACCTTAATGTTAACAACAGCTAGCCAATTTCAGTGTACCAGGTCAGAGTTCAGCTTCTATTTCTGATCCTAAAAATCTAATGACAAATATCAGTAATAGGGATAAGAGGTTGAGTTACTATAGTCATAGCGGCGAGATCTAGAGCGGTTAATACTATCCAATGTTGAGCCAAAAACCCTTCGACTGTACTCATAATTGCTACCACTGATATGTGTTCCATACTCATTACCCTGGTCTGTTACAGTTACTCCAGGGGGAGGCGGCTCTGAATCAAAAAGAAGATTATCAGCAAGCTTGAAATTAACATTAGAACAGTTATCCGCGGATCAAAGAGAAAAACATAAAAAACACATCACCTTCCGAAGAGAAAATACTAGCAGGGTTAGTTGATACCCTAAAGGGTGCCGATATCCTCGTCGACTGATGAGAAATTTCCATATTGTTAACTGGTATGGGTACAGGGTCAGTCCTAGATTTACGAGAAGATGGAGTGACTGTTGTAGATGAATTTTGAGAATTCTTGTCTTGCCCAGAATACTGTTCATCAAGTTCTATGTCAAACATCAAAAACTTCAAGGAGGGAAACTATATATATGATGAAATTTCATTTGATATCAATGAAGCTTAACTAGTTATAGGTATACACCACTTTTATAGCAAAAATCATTGAAATAAAAAAATAAAAAAAAAATGTGATTTCAATAACAATTACACTCTAACACTATTTTGAAAAATAGGCAAAAACCATATTTTGAAATGTTGAAAATCATCACAAAAATCTCTAAATTTTGAAAATTATAATAAACCTCCATTAAAATTTTGAAAATGATCAAAAGCCTCCACTAAAACCATTAAAGCCCTCCTATAAATACATAAATTTATCATAAATCTTCCTTACAGATGATTCTGCAATTTTCAATCCCAACAATCAAGTTACAGATATAATTAATTAAACTTCAGGGAATCTAAATTAAAGAAACAAAATTCTATTGCCCTTGCTTTAACACTTACTAAAAGATAGTCAAATCCCAACTAATATTGACTCATAACCCTAACTAATATCTTAAAAATCATAATCCTCCTCTAAAATTCACCAAAAACTCCATTAAAATTCGAAAACGTATTATAAATCTCCCTAAACGATAAAAAACTCCTAGAAATTCATAATTTTATCATAAATCATCCCAATTGCCTGCGTCCGCCTATTTTTCAACCCAAACAATCCATGTCCACATATAATCAGATGATACTTTGAGGAATACCTCCTCTAAAATTCACCAGTAACCTGATCAACTAAGAACTCGATAAAAAATCAAAAATCTATTACAAACAACCCTAAAATAGCTATACACCTACTCAAAAATTGATAAATTTCATCATACTTTTTCCTAAAACCTGATTCAACCTATTTTTCATATAGACAATCAGAGCCCACATATAATTAGATTAGACTTCCAAGGTGGTAAATTCATTTACCTTGGAAGCCTCACTAAAATTCATCACTAAAATTCCTCGGGAACTCACTAGAAACTTTATCCATGAGTGACTTAACATTTGGATTTAGCAAAATCTCAATAAAATTGAATTAAAAAAAAAAAAGTGACGTACAGCGAATCTAAGAGTCCGATTGTAGAGAGTGACAAGTCCATTGAAAAGTTTGATAGCATAGTCTGCAATCTCCTGTGATTCATATTCGGCAAACGCATAACCTTTCGGCTTATCAGTTTCTTTGTCTCGTGGAATATACAAATCCACCACTCTCCCCGCTTGTATCAAAATATCATACAGAACTCTCTCGCTCACTCTCTCATCCAAATTACCTATACCAAATTAAATTAATCAACACATAAATTAATAAAAATAACAACAAATAATTTTAATTGAAAAGCTGTGCTGACAGTCCAGCAACGTTATCGATATGTTATGTTTACTGCGATTATCTTCCTCATCTGCATCTGTTTTTCATTTTCTATTTTCCAAAACTTGTGAGCCCAGGGTAAAGTTTCGGTATCGTTACCGGACCAGCATTGTAATATTCACCTAATACAGAAATTATCATTTTTTTTTTATAAAAATTGTGAGTTCAGGTCTCTGCTGGTCCTGTATTGTTACTGGACTAGAATTCTCATACTCTCCAAATGAAGAAATGAGAGCGTGCAAAAATTAACGGCAACGCTACTGAACCAGTAACACAGTGTGAGCCAGTAATAATCATTTTCATAAGAATTGAGGGAGATTTGGCCCTACCAGTCTAGTTTTATTTCATATTCGGCAAAAAAATGCTAGCCCTAGGATTTAGAAACCAAAGGGATGAGCTGTGCCGGTAACGTTACTGAGCCAACAGGGGAAGATGAATCGAGATCGTACCTATGTAGACGTTGCAGCGAGGGCTCCCGGACATTGCTGGAGTTGGAGACGAAAGGACTGCTGATTAGGAGTTGTCAGAATGAAGTGGAGAGGAAAAGATGCGGAGAGGGGGTCAATTAATCGATGATTTGTCTGCGAGATTTTTTTTTTCCTTATCCGTGTTGTGGTGGCTATCATATTTATACAGAGGAGAGAGCGAATTGAGGAGTGATACGTGGTGATCAAATGAACCTCGTCTTTCAAGTGAGGGCAAGACGGTTATTTAGAGATCCGTTGATGGCTTAGTAGATTTAGCCCATGTTTATTACTGGATCATTTTTTTTGTTATTTTGTTTGGATTAAATAACAGAATAAGTATTTGTTTTATTATTGGGCAAATCTATTGTAAAAATTAATCAAAATTAAATAAGATTTTTTTGTCTCAAAATGAAAAGAGTATAAGACTTGTTTTCTATTACCCTATTCAACTCAAATAATATTTTAGAGTTATGGGGGTTATTTAATATTAAACATACTTTATAAATGTTCATTCAACCCCAACATTGACAATGTAAAATCGAATTGTAAAACTGAAATGCCTAATCTCAACCCTAAACTCCCAATCCCTAATGATTTTCACCAGCAATTCATCTCCAATTGAAGACCCTCGCGTCTCTTCTCCAATCGACTGACTACGCCATCCCTTCCACTGATCGGCGATGCCATCGTGTAACAATCTACCAGCGACACCATCTGTTCTCCAATCAACCGTCAACACCTTCTCTTCGCAATGCCATCGCTTCAATCAACCGAAGATAGTCCTTCCTCCATGCATAGCCATCTCTTCATTGTTGTAAGTCACCGTGAGAGTACTTCCCTCAACCCTTCGTTAGTATGGTTGTGTTAGTTTAGGGTATCTGCATTTGTTCTCCTCTTTCTTCATCTCCCTTCTCTGTCATTTTTCAATATGATGTTTACTCATATGCTTGAGGACAAGGTGGTTTGCAGGGAGGGGGTGTGGTTGGGGGGGTCTGGGTGGTGGTGTTATTGATAGGTCTGTCATAACTAAGTTGTACAAGAAGAAGAAGGGAAATTCAGTTTAGAGTTAGTTAGTGTGGAATCTTCCATGTAGGTCAAGATGAGACCTGGGGGTTTTTCGTAGAGGAGATGTAGTGAGGAGGGGGGGGGGGGGGGGGGGGGGGGGGGGGTGGGGAGTGTTGAGAGTGTGATTTTAGTGTATATAAGGGAGGGAAAAAAGCTAGTGAGGGGTATCGTAAATTCTAGAAATGTTGGAGGCCATTGCTCCCTAAGTGTGTGTAATCCTTTTATTTTCTATCATTGTTGTTCTCTGTTTCCAACTTGTTTGGCTACCATTTTCACTTCAATATATCAGTCTATTCCAGTTATTTAAGGGCTTTGTGAGTGTTATTAAATTACATTTTCTTGAGCCTTGGGTTGTTGTCTATCAAATTTGATGGAACTCCCTACTAATTTCACCAAACCCACAACGCAATAGGGGGGGGGGGGGGGGGGGGGGGGTGTTATTGATAGGCCTACTATAACTAAGTTGTACAAGAAAAAGAAGGGAAAAAGCAGGTAAGGGAAATTAAGTTTAGAGTTTTGTGTGTAGAATCTTACGTAGGAGAGCGGAGTGTTGAGGAGAAGAAGGGGGGGGGGGGGGGGGGGGGGGGGTTGTTATTGATAGGCCTCCTATAACTAAGTTATACAAGAAGAAGAAGGAAAGGGTAGGAATAGGAGTAGGTAAGGGAAATTCAGTTTAGAGTTAGTAGTGTGGAATCTCCACGTAGAAGAGGAGGTGTGTTGAGAGTGTGATTTTAGGTTGTATATAAGGGGGGCGGCCGGGGTGGGGGGGGGGGGGGGGGGGGGGGTGTGGGGTTTGTTGTTATTGATAGGCCTCCTATAACTAAGTTATACAAGAAGAAGAAGGGAAAGGGTAGTAAGGGAAATTCAGTTTAGAGTTAGTTAGTGTGGAATCTCCACGTAAGAAGAGGGAGTGTTGAGAGTGTGATTTTAGTTTGTATATAAGGGAGGGAAAAACCTAGTGAGGGGTATCGTAAATTCTAGAATTATTGTTGGAGGCCACTAGCTCCTCTAAGTGCTAGTAATCCTTTTATTTTTCTATCATTGTTGTTCTCTGTTTCTGTAACGCCCCGCTTGAGATACGTAGCCATTGTTTATGGTATGGCCTAAAGGGTTACTAAATTGCTCCTAAATGAGATTGTTTATTGTTCATGTTGTTTGGTTGGCCCTTGGTTGAGTTTATGTTTTGGGTTTGGTTGAGTGTTTACTTTGGAATTGATCAAGACTTGGCGGATTTTGGAGTTGCAGCCTTCACCGGGGCGAGGAAGAAGCTTCGTCGCTGCGACGTCGGCTCTGAATTTGCAATGTTGATTCTGTAATTCTTCGCCGAGGCAACAGAGCATTCTTCGCCGCGGCGAAGGGTCGGTTGAGTTTTTGTTTGAGTTTCTAGAGAATTCTTTCCTAAGGGAAAAATGACCATTTTACCTCTAATTAGCAGGAAAAGTGGGGAGTAAAATGTAAGAGAATTTTATGGAGAATATGTTAGAGTGGGGGTGTGAGTGTAATGAATCAAAGGTCAAGGATGAAATTTTCAAGAAAAAGCAAGGGCAATATGGGAATGAATGAATATATTTTGAGCTAAAAAGGGTTAAGTGTAATAAACCCCTTCATTTCACCCATTTCCACCGCCTCTTCATCCCTCATTTTCTCTCAATTCCTCACTCAATCTTCCAAGGGATTTTTAAGAGTTTTGAGTTGGAATTTGACAAATAATTGATCCTAAGCAAGAAGAGGTAAGAATCCCTACTCTAGATATGAGTTTTATTTATGTAAAGGTTAAGTTCTTACTAAGTTTATGCTTAGGAAATAAGGAAAAGCTAAGGTCCAACAAGAGGAGAGAGCTTTAGTGGAGACTACTCAAGTATGAAGTAAGTAAATCCAACTCAAGCTAAAGTTTAAGAAATTCATGAGTAGAGATTTCTTTATGCATGTATATATGATGCTTGTTGAGAAATTGAGTAGAGATATATGTCTATTTGTTGAGAAATTGAGTTGAGAAGAGTATTCATGTTATTTTTGTTGGATATATTTCCTTTATGGGAAGTGTTGATGTGTGATGAGTTTGAGATAAAGTTGGAGGAGATTGAGTAGATATTTTGGGAGTGTTCTTCTATGATAGGAACCATGTCCACTGAAGGGAGTTTCCTCCCATTTTGGATGGTTAAAAAGAGAAGTAGAGTTGTAGTTAGAGAAGAGTTTTTGTATGCACATGAGTTGTTTGATGAAATGCCTAAGAGAAGTATGAGTATGAATAGTGACCCTTAATTCTTGCTACATTGCATATTGGCATTTCATAAGTGCATTAATGGGAATAAACCATCCATATGCATTAGTTGTGCATTTAAGAAGTAGCTTGAGAAAGAGTAGAGAATTTTGAGTATAAACTACACTGTGAGTAATAACTTGAGAAAGAGTATAGAACTTTGTGAATAGACTACTCTAAGAGTTAAGCTATACTATGAATACTAGCTTGAGAAAGAGATGAGTATTAGTTTGAGCAAGAGTAGAGATCTTTGTGAATAAACTACTCTAAGAGCAAAAGAAGAGAATAGAGTAGGTTGTGCGATGGGAAACCTGTGAGTGATGAGTAAAGTCACGAGAATGGGTGCTTTGTGATCCCCAACCATGCCTCCGGTTAGATGGGGCCGTGACCGTCACGAAGAGTGGAACATGAGGTTTCAGCCGTGCCTCCGGTAAGATGGGATCGTGACATTCAGAGAGAGAGAGAATACACTCACCTGGCCAAGGGTTCCGAATCCATGCATGACTAAGTCCGATCGACAGAGAATGAGTAGAAGTCACGAAAAGTGGGTCGGTGCTTTGTGATCTCCACCCAGCCGTACCTCCGGTAAGATAAGGCCGTGACATGCAAGTGAGGAAGAATGAGCAAACATGAGAAAGAATAAAGAGAGACAATGAGTAGGGTTACGAATAGTGGGATGAGTACCCAGCCGTGCCTCCGGTAAGATCAGGTCGTGACCTACAACAGGAAGTTAACAGAAAAGAGTTATGAGAAAGAGAGACAGAAAGAGAATCAATAGAAGTCACGTAGAGTGGGAGAAGTCCCGACCGTGCCTCCGGTAAGATGGGGCCGTGACATTTAAAAAGAGAGTTAGTAGAAAAGAATTATGAGAAATGAGAAAGAGATAATAGAGAGAATTAAAGAATGAGAAAGCTTGAGAAAGAATGAGATAGAAAGAGAAAGAATGAGAAAGAATGAGAGAGTTTGAGTTAGTAAGAATAGAGAGTAGAAGAAAGAAATATGCAGTTCTTTTGCATTAATTGCATGTACATCTCATGCATGCATGCACCATGATTTCTTCCATGGTTAGTGAGAGTATGATGAGAATAAGAGAGAACCATGATTTTTCTTCATGGTGAGTATGACGAGAATAAGAGAGAGAACCATGATTTTCCTTCATGGTGAGTAAGAATAAGAGAAAAAGAACAGAGAGAAAGAAAGAATAAAAAGAGCAGAACAGAGTTAAAGGAGAATAAAAGTATTAGAAAGAAAGAGAAAAACAGTGAAAATTAGAAATAGAAGAACGGTAGAGTAAGGAAAGAACCAAAGAGTGAGTTGCGGGGACAGGTAGTAGAGGATTTACTTACTGAGCATTGTTATGCTCACCCTGTTGTTCTTCTCTGTTTTGCAGGAAATAGGAGTAGCGGTCGGATGAATGTCGAGGAGCGGAGAGTATTGGCACCACTGTCCACCAGGTATGATATTTTGTATTAATTAGAAAGTTTTTAATACATAGTATTTTGTATTTGTAAAGAATTATATTTTATGAGTAAAGAAAAATTTGAGCCCACTATCTTTCATACGCTATGTATATCTATAATTTACATAGTATGTATTATAAGACTAGTAGTAGAGAGCAGGTGTTACAGTTTCCAACTTGTTTGGCTACCGTTTTCACTTCAATATATCAGTCTATTTTTCCAGTTATTTAAGGGCTTTGTTGAGTGTTATTAAATTACATTTTCTTGACCCTAGTGGTTGTGTTCTCATGAAATTTGATGGAACTCCCTACTAATTTCACACAAACCCAGCAACACAATAGGCAAAAAATGCAGAAAAAGG